GGGAAGGCTCAAGTCCAAGAGTAATTATTCGATTGGCTAAGACAAGTAGATTTATAAACTCTTGTTAAGCGTATGAAATTCATGTATTTTCCTGTGTGACGTTTAGAATGATTTGGAGACTTGTTGCTGATTTATTGGTGTTGTATTCCTTGTTGTAAATTGCGCTTTGTTATCAAAATGGTTATCTCCTCATTTTCATTTGAGCATGTCATTTGTATTGTATCTGAGACATGGTTGTGGTAAGAGGATGTACCATTTTGAAGGTCATATCGCGCGTCGCGATGGATATCATATTTTGAGGGAAGTATCGCGCGCCGTGAAGGTTACTATTCTCGAGGGTCATGTCGCGCGCCGCGACAGATGCATGGACAGATATGTCCCCATGGGTCCCGGACTGAGAGATAGCGGGTGTGTATCTTTAAGAAAGACATGCATCACTATATTTAACAATGCATCTCATGGCATTGCACATTTTATTATTGATGAACTTGAACACGTGTTTTTCTGATCTTGTGAGTGTTTCTCTGCGAAGCTTGTGACTGTTGAATATTGAGTTGTTATTGAGAATGTGTAAACTGATAGAATGTGATTATTGAGTTGTGTGTTTGGTAAATTATAAACTATTAGGCTGTAGTGTGGAGGTTTACATAGGGTGTAAGGAGTACCCGTATTTTGTTCACTTAACTTGTGTTTAGAGGTTCGCTTGTTGGCTACTGTGTGGTTTGGTACTAACCCCTAGTTTCTATAAATTTTTGTAGGTTACGAGCCCGGATTTTTGTGATACCTTCCATTCTCTTTGTTTTGGAGGCATCTTGTGGAGGATTGGGAGGTAGCTGCTTGTCATCTCAGCGAACTTTCCTACTCCAGTTTATGACTTTGTTTTTACTTGAAAGACAACTTCATTTTAGACTTCTATTTTATTTCAATTCTAATATTTACATTAGAGGCTTGTGCACGTGACAACCAGGTTTTGGAGATTGAATTATATGACTTGGTTTCATAATAGAAATTGTTGTTGGATTGTAATTACTTCCGCACTTTGTTAGATATTGAATTTTTAGGCTGACTTGTCTTGTGAGATAAATCTATTATATTGGGGAAAATTAGGTAATTTTGATTACTGAATATGTTAAATGTGACTGTTTCATGCATGCACCTTTCCTTCTATGGGAATAGTAACTTTTTTGTACGTGGTCCCACATTTCTTTCAGGATTTTTAGTTTTTTTAATTCACAAGTCCCCCACATGGCTATTTTACGACAGTGCATTTTATTTTGTTAGCTATTATAACAAAAAAATGATAGTATATTCTAAATTTTAAATATTTATATTATTCTTAATAAAAAAATTTATATTTATATAATATTTTGTTGCTTCATTCTGAGCCAAGGTTTTAAGGTTTTTAAAAATTTCGTGTCAAATTAAATTATATCACATAAATTGAAACTAAAATATATTAAGTAGTAAAAACTAGTACCCTTAATTCCCATTTTATACGAACTTTTCTTTTTAGTTCGTCCCAAAAAAAAATTGACCTTTCTATAATAAAAATAATAATTTAACTTTAAAATATCAAAGCAACATCTTAAATCACAAATTATAAAATTTTCTTATTTTTTATTTTAATATTATATCAAATCAAATAATGTTACGTAAAATTAAATGGAAGGAGTAATATTTTGGATCTATAATACTCCTATATCTTTAGTTTAAATGGAAGGAGTAATATTCTGGATCTATTATACTCCTATATCTTTAGTTTTGTTTCCTCACATGTATTTACTTGTTCCTAATTCTATATAAATGGAAGTCTTCAGCAACACTAGAAATTACATACAAGAAAGAAAATGATGAATAATGCACTGGTCTCATATCTTTTCATACTTTCTGTCCTTTTCAATTTACAACAAACCCACACGTGGCTATTTTACTGAAAATGTATCTTGTTTTGTTAGCTACTATAGCACAAAAAATTAAAAATATTTATTGAACTTTGAATAAATTTAATTTAATTTCTTAATGATGATTAATTAATAGTATAGACCTTGAAAGAGGTTCACGAATACCATCATTATTTTCTAAAATAATTCAAAAAAATTAACTTAAAAATTTAGGGGATAGAAATTTCACTAGCCAATTGAATTTTTAATCACTTTTTTTTCTTTTTATTAAATAATTAAATAAAATATAAAAGTAATTGTTTGATTTAGAATTAATAAGCAATTTTTTTTCTATAAAGCTATTAAAATTGAAAGGGCTCCGTACAAAGTTTCTTTTGATATAATTTATTTTCTACTCTTTATACTTTTATGTGTCATCGGTATATAGAAGTTCGTAAAATGTTAAAGTATAATAAAAGTAATTTTATTCTAGATTGATTTTTTTTTTCATTTTTGATTTACTTTATATTAAATAAATATAAATATATTAAAGTTAAATATAATGTAGTTTGATTTTAATAGATTTTTATCCCTAAAGAGCCCACGTGGTAAGTAAATTAAATGGTTGAAAATGAATTACATATCAACAACTTCAACCGACTTTTCTGATGGCAGTAAATGCATTAAAAGGGTGGGTTGTGGAATAAAAAAAAGATGATATAACCCACCCACCCCCCTTCCCCCACTGCATTGCTATATATATATATATATATATATATATATATGCAGTGGATCCATCGTCAAATCTTTCTCTGCTCATCACCTTTCCTATTTCAGGTTCCTATACTCCTTAACTTTTCTTTATATTTCTGTTAGTTGCCAAAATTTGTAAAAATATTCAGCCTTCACCATTATATAATTTGTATATTTAACAGATTCAGAAGAAACAAAAACATGTCTTCTAGGCTTACTAATGAGGTATATATCAACTTTCAACTTTATGTATTACTATTAATTTATTATTCTCGCGTTACAACATAACTTGCTTTATAAGATGAAATTAGTATATATGTTTTGGGTGTGTGTGAAAGAGCTTTCTAGCTAAATTATTATCTTTATATACAAAGTTTAACAACAAACACTTTTTTTATTTTATTTTTTAAAAGATATTCATCATAGCATATTAATTGTGGAGTTGCTCGAAATTAATAAATATTTAGATCTCAAGTACTGTTTTAGTTATTTAACTTGGCAGATCCAATAATTTTCATAAAGGAAAAAAAACAATACAGTATGTGATCTACAATCTTAAATTAGATTATTATAATTAGGGAAAATACATCAAATTCCTCAACAAAATTCACTTTAGTACTTTAACAATACGGGCGTTTAAATATCCCTTTACTAATTCTGAACTAACTAATTAAATATCACCCTAAGAGCTGACGTGACAAAGTGGGTGTAGTCATTCTCCTCAAAACGCGTGAACTGATAAAAAAAATAAAAGTTGAAAGGTAAAATCATACACGTAACATTTTTATTAGCCAATATCTAACTAATATTTTTTTAAAAAATTTTTATAAGTTAAATTTAAAAGAATGTGAAATTTATTTTTAGAAGTAAATAAAATTTGTGGGTTCAATTATTTTTTACAAAATATTTAATATTTTTGTTCTCTCTTTATTTTGTTATCTTCCCAAAATGTCTTCTTCACCATGAAAGAATAAGGGGGAGGGAGGGGGGGGGGGGTTAAAGCGAAGGGGTTGAAGAAGATGTGGCAATTTTGATTTTAGAATGTTAATTAATTAATGTAATGAGGTTAAGAAAACAAAAGGTGAATAAGTAAAACAAAATAAAAATTAATGACATTGTGCTGACGTGGTGCTTACATGATTATGATGTGGCATGTGAGAATGGTATTCTACTCTAAGGGTTGTATTTAATGCAGTTCGAAGATGGTAAGGGGTATTTAAATGCCCGTATAGTGAAAGAACTAAAGTGAGTTTTGCTTCCAATTTCAACTTGGATTTGATTTATTTTCCCTTATAATTAAGCTAGCGTTTGGCCATAGATTTCCAAATATTCTTGGCAAATATTATTTGAGTGAAAATTTGGGTAAAATTTCACCATGTGTTTGGCCATCAAATTTGGAAAATATATTTCATCTTTTTAGAAAAATATGATTTGTACACACAAGTTTTAAAAACTATCAAAACTAACTAAAAGTTTGTATTACAAGTCAATTGAATGTTGGTTACAACAACAACAAATAATGTCCATGACACTGAAGCAATGTGGTAATTTGGAGTGAGTGCAACAAGAATTATTCCATACATTGTGAAGTAGATAAAGTACATGACTTTGTTACCTAAAGCCAATTTTTAATAATTTTCATCAACAATCATATCATTATTTAATATTCACTAAATATTTCATCACTATTGTGGTGTTCACGTAAAAAATGATATAATACAACGCAAGCAAATACTAGAGAGGGTGTTTTTGTAAAAGATAAAAGATTGGGGTAAAATTTTAATTTTTAAAATATCCCAAATAATGATATTTTGCCCAAATACTAGAAAAAACTAGTATTTGGAAATTTGGGATATTTGCCAAATAATATGACAAATTGTATGGACAAACATTATTTGCCAAATTTTTCCCAAATATTATTTGGAAAATTTATGGCCAAACGGGCCTAAGTACTCTCCCTTCAAAATATAATACCAACATCCCCCATTCTTTTTTACTTTAACCTGAGCCATCTGATATATTTATTAAAGGATCATATAGAGGATTTTTTTTCCCATTTTTTGGTAAATAACGATATTATATATATTACTGCATCATACAGGGAGCCATAGGCTCAATGCTTACCCAAAGATTGCATATTACACAAAAAGGTAGAGATTGATGAATACAAAACAGTAGTGTTACCGACATTACTACTATCTAAATTACTATGATTATAAGAGATAGTTAAGATGACCCTTTTCCTTTGCTTCCCTGTCTGATCATCAGCAAGTATGGAGTTGACAAAATTTGGTGGCGCGTTCAACACAAAATCTCTTCCAAATGTTTTTGTGGAGATGCTTCTTTAGCTAAACTATTTGCTACTTGTTTTCCCTATATGTGTGCCTTAGCTTAGTGTTATTCAGTAGGTGAAAAGCCACCTGCAGTCAAACAAGAGATTAGATTCATTAGCATGAGGATTACAAAGTAGTTGTATGACTGCCAGAGCATCCATTTCAATTTGTAACGGTTGTATGTTGTGAAGTTGAGCAATGCAGAGACCGTGAAATAGCGCAAGCATTTCAGTAGCTAGAGGAGATGTGTTTTGTACTGATCCCATGAATCCAATAATCCACAATCCGGAAAAGTTGCGAATGACTCCACCAAAACCTCCTTTTTGAGTAGTCTGGAGCATGCCCCATCAGTGTTTAATATAAAATAGTTAAGAGGAGGGGGTGACCAAGATAAGTTGAAGGAAATTGACTTTCAGATCGAGTGCTTTGTCCCAAAGAGTGAAACTCAATAGATTTTTGAATTGCTTGTCTGTAATCTGGATAATTCTTGGTATGATTAAAGTGGTTAGTATTTCGATTAATCCAAAGAGTCTGAATACCAAAGAAAACAAGAGTGGATGAAAGGATGGGATAGATAGGAGTTTCCTTAGATTGTTTGATTATTGTAGGGATCCAGTCTAGACGACGTGCAATGATCAAATCTTGACGATTTAGTAGATGTAAAAGTTTAATATTAGACCATAAAAATTGTGCATGGGGGCAGAAAATTAGAATGTGGTTGATGTCTTCGACTAAATTGTGACATTGAGGACAAATATCTTCTGGTGAAATGCCAATGTTCGCGAGAATGATTTAGTGTGGAGTTTTTGATGAGAACATTGCCTAACAAAAAAAACAAATTTTAGGTGGAATAAAAAGTTTCCTGATCCAGCTAAAGGAGGTGGTGTTGATGTCGTTGATGGCTGGACAAATTGCTTTGTAAAGAGACTAAGTGGTGAAAATCCAACTAGATGTCAATCCCCAAGTGCCAGTGTCCTTAGCTTGAGTGTAAATTGGGATATAGGTTGATTTAATGTTATGAATTGTGGTGTCATCCAAACTGTGAATGACCTAGTCTAGATTCCATCGATGACTAAGAATGTAGTCTGCTACTCTCTGTGTTAGGCAATTCCGAGGTAGAGAGCCTATAAATTTCTGTTTAAGAGTCTCATTTGGATTTAACCAAACGTCTTCCCAAAATATAATGTCTTTTCCATTACCAATTTCCCACTGAATGCCTTGTTGATAGGTTAGCCAACCTCTAAGGAGGTTCACCATAAGGGAGTAGTGGTCTTTTTGGGGCAGCCGTTGGCAGGAATGTAATGACTTATCAGTATTTTAGACCAGAGAGCCGAGGCCACGAAAGATTTGCTATAAGGGCTTTGCTTTTGAGGAAAAGGTCTTGGATCCCAAGACCTCGTGAATATCGGTTCCTAGTGATGATTCTCCATTTAAAAAGGTGTAGTTTGCGAGCTTGGGTAGTAGAACCCCAAAGAAAAGCACATTGAAACTTGTTAAGAGTAGAGATTACCTGTTTTGGAAGTTCAGTAAATTGCATGACATGGTTTGCGAGGCTATTAAGAGTGGATCGGATAAGAGTAGTGCGTCCTGCCATGGTTAGGAATTTTGTTTTCCATCCTGCCAGACACTCATTAAAGTTGTCGATGAGCAATTGTAAATCCCTACTTTGATAACTAGTATGGGTAAGAGGATATCCAAGATATTTTCCCATTACAGTTCCTTCTTTCATATGTAGGGAACTAGTAACATACTCATTATCTTCCTGAGATGAATTTCTCGATAGGAAGACGTGAGATTTGTTGTAGTTTATTTTTTGCCCTGAAAAGGATGAGAATGTATTGAGGGTGTCGATGATGGTGTTACAGCTTAGGTGGGTTATTTTGGAGACAAAAATAATATCATGCGCAGAAAGAACATGGGAGATAGGAATACCTTGTCGTCCAAACATAATTGGAATCCATCTGTTATAATGTACACTTTGGTGAATAGATTGTGATAAAATATCTATACACATGATAAATAAATAAGGTGAAAGAGGATCACCTTGTTGAATACCACGCGTGGGTTGGAAGAAATCCGTTCTAGTACCATTAATGAGAATAGAGATGGAGGAAGATGTAACACAAGACATAATCAGGGTCGATAGGTGTTGAGTATTATCAAAATAAATTAGGGCTTGGTATATCCAATGGAACTGGTGTGTGTGTATTTATATATATATATATATATATATATATAAATTTTAGAAGATTAGAAATGTTAAGTTTGTCATATATACAAGTACATAATAAATGAATATTGTTCGAAGTATTTAAAAGTACATTGCCTATGTACATGTAATTGTAAGTTGCAAAACACATATGTTAAATGTTGAATTATTTATTTGAAGTTGAAAGAAATGTAGAAGTGGAAAGAAGAAGAAGTTAGTAAAACTAGACCTCCCATGTTTGGAAAAGTTTAACATGGTAGAGGCCCGAGGAATAAAAGGTGGGTGAGATTCCATTAACTTTTTTGACACATGAATAATTGAGACATTTATCTACTTTAAAGCAAAAATGTTACCAATAACAAGAGAGAAAATATATTTACACAATAAATTTATAATATATGTGCATTTGCTGCTTTTATTTTTTAATTGATAATATTATATTAATTTTGAGATTACATTGGATATGTTATTATTATTGTAGTTTATGTTAGTTTGAAGAATTTTTATAAACCTCGAACAAAAATAACAAAAGTAAAGTAAATTTTATAATTAATCTCAATCCCATTAGAAATAATAAATTTCATTAAATATATAATAATAAAATAAAAAATGATATTGGATGCACATTTTATACTTGTTGACAAATTAAATTTTTAATTTTCTTTCCTAATATTTTTATAAAATCAAAGGATGGTAAATCAAAATTCCATATTTCGACGTTTAAACTGAATTTGTAATTTTTTTATCTTTTTATAAAAACGTTTTTGCTTATGTTAGAAAAAAAGTAACACCAATGTTGAAAAGAAACAAGAGATTTTCTCTCTAAATGTAGTCAACTTTAATTTATATTAATTATTATTTTACAAAAATTAACAATAAAATATATTAAACCTGTCCTAGAAAATTTTAAGTACTACTTTATAACAAAAATAATTAAAAATAAAAAAGTAATACAAATTATATTATGCAAAAACGATGACATATCAAAATAAAATTTTCAAACCAATATATGAATACGTAACATATTCAATATAATCTCAAAATATTAAAATAAAAAAGAAATAGATTCATGTTTTAATTTTTCTCGCATTTTTTATGTATGTTCAACCCAATTTATTGTGTAAGTATATTGTCTCTTTCTTGTTAGTGGTAACATTATAGCTTTAAAGTAGATCAATGACCCGCCTATATATGTGTCAAAAAATTAATGGAGCCTCACCGAACTTTAATTGATTGGACCTCTATTATGTTAAAAGTTTCGCTATATTTAGTTAGTGATTGTACTAAGAAAATGAAAACAAGATTTTGAATGTTTCCAAATTATAAATACAACTTAAAGTTGTATTTGGAACTTTTGAAATTAAATTAAATAATTTTCATAGAAAAAAGTAAAAATTTCTGATGTTTAATATGTATTATTTTAATACTACTCATAATCAAATGTCCTTTCAACCATGTTAAGACTACTATGTATAGGTTATAACTTAACACTTCAATAAATAATTTTTTTTTACTCGGACTATAAAATATTAAGATTAATCATTGGAGACCTCATGAAAATAAAAATGATTGTGCCAATTAATATTTTTGTGGCAAACATGCATATATTAGTTGATCATATATAATGTATTTGTCTTGTTGGCCTTTTTGCCATGTCACTGCGACACAAGTCTTTCACTAACTCCGTGCCATAAATTTTCACCTTTTTATTTTAGTTTTAATGATAAATTATTTTGTGATTTCCAAGACTAATTGAGTGACTCCAGATCAATCTATCCTAACATAACTTGTACACATATCATCTTCAACTCACCTTTATTTTACTCTGCATTCTCTATATTTAGAGAGTAAAATAAAAATTATTCTCTCCAATTCTTTTCCATATTGCTCTCTACATTCCATTTATAGAAAATATTCTCTCCAATCCTTTTCCATATTACTCTCTATATTACATTTATAGAGAAAAGAATAGTAGTTCTCCAAATTTACTATTAATACTCTCTATTTTACTTTTTTAATGTTTTATTGTTATTTTCATTACTTTTCAATTGACATATTATTTTACATATAATTTCATTAATAAATATCGAATATTCATGATTCATTTTAAATGCAATATATTATTTTTAAAAATATATTATTGTCACGACCCAAATCGAGCCGCGACTGGCACCCACACTTACTCTCCTATGTGAGCGAACCAATCAATACAAAACCCAACATTTCGAATATAATAACACAATATAATGCGGAAGACTTAAACTCATTAATGAAAATCAATTAAATAACTTCTAAAAACTCGACAACTATTATTATCCCCAAAATCTGGAAGTCATCATCACAAGAACATTTATCTCAAATTACTAAATCTAAGAGTATCTAGAAAGCTAGAATAAATAAAAAGCTAGTCCATGTCGGAACTTCAAGGCATCGAGACATGAAGAAGAAGATCCAGTCCAAGCTAGAAGCGTTAGCTCACCCTGAAATCCGGTGTAATGAAGACTGGCTAGAGTTGCGGTTGAGTTGAAAATGACGGCACGTTTGCTGCACTCCACAAGTAACAAGGAAAGAAACATACAAGTAGGGGTCAGTACAAAACACGGGTACTGAGTAGATATCATCGGCCAACTCAAAATAGAAAATAGTATAAATCAGATAATATCATAAATCAACTACAATACTCAATCTGTAGCAACAACATGCACAAGAATCTTTGATAAATAACATCAAGTACACTCATGAGGACTCAAGACTCCATATCGTACTTATTTGGGAAATAGGTTCTTTTCATTCGAATTTATTAACATAATTCCAAGATTCATTATCTTTATTCCTCTTGTGTCGGCACGTGACACTCCGCTCCCCTACTACTATGTGTCGGAACGTGACACTCCGATCCCCTAATTCTACGTGTCGGTTCGTGACACCCGATCCCCTAATTCTACGTGTCGGTTCGTGACACCCGATCCCCTAGTTCTACGTGTCGGTTCGTGACACCCGATCTCCTAATTATACGTATCGGTTCGTGACACCCGATCCCCTAATTCTACGTGTCGGTTCGTGACACCCGCTCCACTAATCTTATTCTTTCAATCCATCAAGCCTTCTTTTATACCAAGGCATATCAATTTCATTACTTTAGTTCATCAAGCCTTCTTTTATACCAAGACATATCAATCTCATTACTTTAGTTCATCAAGCCTTCTTTTATACCAAGGCATATCAATCTCATTACTTTAGTTCATCAAGCCTTCTTTTATACCAAGGCATCATCATTAACAAGGGGTTTTCAAGATTGGAGTTTTCAAGATTTGGGATTCAATAGTTTCATCATGCTTATTTCATCATAATTATATAATCATATTCATGCAAGCATACAATTAAGCATGTAGAAGACTTTACAATACAACCCAATACATATCATTTGCTATTAAGAGTTTACTATGAAAAGCATAAAAACCATAACCTACCTCCATCGAAGAATTGTGATCAAGCAAGCTAATCCTCAAAAACTTTGCTTTCTTCTTCGTTTCTCCTCTCTCTCTCGATCCTTTTTCCCTCTCTTTCTGTTCTTTTCTTTTTCTTATTCAAACCCTCTTTCTTTTACCCTAATTAGCATATAATTAAGTATAAAAGGTGGTGAATTAACCCATTAGTTAATTCAAGGTTATCTCTTTTAACCCTCAAGTATTTAATTATTAACATTAACCCACTAAATTTATAATTATAGCAGGAATAGTCCAAAACGTCCCTTAAAACATTTAAAGAAATCTGACCCCGCCTGGGATTACGTAGCCTGTGACGCGCCGTCGCGCCTGCGACGGTCGGTCCTGCTGCTCCGTCACAGAGTTCAGAGACTCCATTCCATTAAAGGGGGTGTGACGGTCCGTCGTGCCCACAACGGTCCGTCCTGCCATTCCGTTACGAAGTTCAGAGAGTCGATTTCAGTACCCAATTTTCAGAATTCTAAGTATTTTTGAACGAGACACCCTCGACGGTCCATCGTGGGTTCCGTCGTCTCAGCCAGTTTTTCCAGAAATAAAATCTGCTGCTCAAAACGACTAAACAGGTCGTTACAATAGATACCAATTTACCCATCGTTCGTCCCCTAACAATCACAAGAAGAAAAAACAAGGGCGAACAAGAGTACCTGAATCTGTAAACAGATGTGGGTATCTTTCTTGCATGTCAGCCTCTTTCTCCCAAGTGGCTTCTTCGACTGGTCGATTCTTCCATTGAACTTTGATGGATGCAATCTCCCTTGACCTCAGCTTGCGGACTTCTCTATCTAAAATAGCAACAGGCTCCTCCTCATAAGACAAATTCTCATCAAGCAAAACTGAATCCCAACGGATAATGTAGTTTCCATCCCCATGGTATCTTTTCAACATAGACACATGGAATACCGGATGCACTCCGGATAGCCCTAGAGGCAAGGCTAACTCATAAGCCACCTCCCCTACTCGCTTAAGTACTTCAAAGGGACCAATATACCTTGGGCTTAGTTTACCTCTTTTACCAAACCGCATCACCCCTTTCATGGGCGAAACCTTCAATAAGACTTGTTCACCCTCCATAAATTCCAAGTCTCTAACCTTTCGATGTGCATATTCCTTTTGCCTACTTTGTGCCGCTAAAAGCTTTTCTTGAATAGATTTCACTTTCTTCAATGAATCCCTCAAAAGGTCAGTACCCCAAGGTCTAACCTCAAATGCATCAAACCAACCAATGGGAGACCTACATCTCCTCCCATACAATGCTTCAAATGGGGCCATATCAATAGTTGAGTGATAGTTATTGTTGTAGGAGAACTCTGCTAAGGGTAAGAAGCTATCCCAATGACCACCAAATTCTATCACACATTTGCGAAGCATATCCTCCAACACTTGGATCGTTCTCTCAGACTGACTATCGGTCTGAGGATGGAATGCAGTACTAAGGTCCAACCTAGTACCCAATTCCGCATGCAATGTTTTCCAAAACTTAGAAGTAAACTGCGTACCTCTATCTGATATAATGGAGAGTGGAACCCCATGCAATCGCACCACTTTCGAGATGTAAAGTTTGGCTAACTTCTCTGCATTGTAAGTCACCTTGACCGGAATGAAGTGAGCAGACTTAATTAACCTATCAGCAATTACCCAAATGGAGTCATACTTACCCATTGTCTTGGGAAGACCAACCACGAAGTCCATTGCAATCCTTTCCCACTTCCATACAGGAATGGGCATTCTCTGAAGTGTTCCTCCGGGCCTCTGGTGTTCATACTTTACTTGCTGACAATTTGGACATTTGGCAACAAAATCAACAATGTCGCGCTTTATTCTACTCCACCAAAAGTGTTGCTTTAGGTCACGGTACATCTTGGTTGCACCAGGATGTATAGAGTACCTTGAACT